AATATTATTATATTTATCATTCATTTCTCATCGAATTTAATTTTTGTCATATTTTCTTTATTTTCTTTTTCTTTATATTCTTTAGTATTCTTCATCAATCTCATTTGCTTCTTCTTTCTTTTCTTTATTACTATTTTCTTATTTTCTCTTCATTACCATTCTTTTCTCTTTTTGTCATTCTTTTTGTTATTCCTTTGTTATTTCTTTCTTCTTATTTCTTCTATGATGGATCTTCTCCTCTTGAGCATTTTCTTCTTTACCATTTTGTTCATCTCCTGTTTTATGTTTTTCTTCAATTTAATTACTATTCTCTTCTGTACTTTCTTGAATTTTATCTTTCTATCCTCAACTTCATTCTCATTTCTTTATTCTTTGTTCTTCAGTTTCTGTAAATATTTCTTCACTAATTCATATCTTTATTGTTTCTTATAACATTGTACATTCTTTTATGTTGATTTGAATATATTTATATGTGTATTACTTCTTTATCTCATTATCCTCTTTTACTCCACTCTGTTATATCAGTAATTACAATAATCATTATAATTTAAATAATTGATGTTTTCTATCTCAATTCTTCTCTTTAATTATATTCTCTTATGTATTTTCTTTTCATTATCTGTGTTCTAACTTATTGTATTCTAATCAATAATTTCATTAGTTTATTCTATATTTTTTGTAAACAATAATAAATAGAATGAAATAATAAATTAAATTTCACTTTATATTCAATATTCATGAAATATATAAATATTAAATAACAATAATAACATTAAAATTGTTTCATAAAATGGTATGAAAAGAATAATTAATTTCTATTCATAATTCAAATCATTATTATTTTAAAATTATGTTCATTGTTAATTATTATGTTATTTTATTATTTCTATACAAAATAATTTGATATAATCATTAATCAATTCTTATTCTGTTTTTATTATATAAAATACTTTAATTAAATAAAAACATCAATTAATTATTAAATGGAAATTAATTATTTGTTTATATTTCATTTATTGTTATTTATACATTATTCTTTCTGTATTTAATGAACTATTACACAAAATATTAATTATTTCTTTTTCTTCATTCTTATTCATTTTTCTATTTTCTTCAATATCTTATTTCATCAAAATAATTATAATATTTATTTCATTTTAACTTCTATTAATTAATCATTGTGAATAAACAATGAAGAATACTTCTTGTTAAATTAGTATAAATAAAATGAATCTAATGATATAATTCTCTAAATAAACATATTTAATTGATTTCATTATATTATAATTGAATAATGAATATTATATAAACAAATAAAACACACAAAATTTAAAATCAAATCATAAATAAATAATTTGATAATGAATTAATGAGTTAATAGGAATAATGTTGAATAATGAAATATTGAAACAAAGAATAAAAAAATATATTAATAATGATATTTATAAATATTGTATTTTAAATGTTAAATAATAAATATAAATATTTAAAATTAATGAACTCATTCTTCTGTTAGAATTTCATTTTCATTTTTAATTAATAAATGGATATGAAACAAAAGAATAATTAAATTAATAAATGAGTGAATGAAAAAAAAAGAAGATAATATAAGAAGTTAATATATATCAAATATCATCTTAATAGAAAATGTTATTTTTAATAACAAAAAATAAAAGAATGAATAAATAATAACACAAAATAAAACAAATAAATAAATACAAAATGAAATAAATATCAACTTTTGTTGTTCTTTATTTTCTTTTCAATTATATTCTTTTCTTTCTTATCTTAAATTCCCTCGATTATTTCCTCTATATCCTCCTCTCATTCCTCGTGTTCCACGTAAAACTGTTATAAATGTTTTAATTAATTTAGTGGTTGGGTCATTTCTTTTATTATAGTCTTTGATATTAGTACGTTTAACTGCAACACTAATTTCATTCTCCCCTAATTTTGTGCCATTTAAATTAGTGACTGCCCTTTCTCTTGCTTCAACTGAATCTAATTCAATGTATGCATATCGTTTAGAAACTCCACTTTTTGTTAATGGAAGAGTGACTAAAAGAACATTCCCAACAGTGGAAAAGAGTTGTTGAAGTTGTTCTTTAGTAGCATTTGGATCAAGATTAGTAACACAAACTGATCTATTATCACGTTCTCTTTGTTCTTCTGTTGGTTGTGGATATCTTCCATTGAATTTTGGAACACTTTTTGGTGCATTTATTTTAGGTGCTTTTTCTGTTGACGTTTCATCCATAGTCATTGCATTTTGATTGTTCCCACTCACATCTGTTCCTACAAATTTTAAGCGTTGTTCCATGTTTCTTTTCTTCTTTTTCTTTTTTTGTTTTTTTTCCTTCTTTTTTTTTCTTATAGTATATTTTTATTATATTCTTACTATTTTTTATTTCTATTTCTTCTCCTCAAAATTACACTTTATCATCGGGTTATTTCTCTATTCTTTCCCCTATTTATTTTTAAAAAATATTAAAAAACAAAATGAAATAACAAAAAAGAAATAAATTATTTATCAAAAACAAGGATTGTTTTTTGAAATAATGATATGAAGAATGAATAAGATAGGAGCTGAAGTGTGAGAGCTAATAAGAATAAAACATAAACACTAAATGATTAAATAAAAAATAAAAAAATCAAAAGAAGAATAATAATTAATAATGATGTGTTGATATCTAAGTCATCAGAACTAAATGAAAGAATAAACAAATAAGAAAAACAACAAAAGAAATATAAAATAATTCAATCATTATGAAAGACTATCTTTGAAATAATTTATTTCATAAAGTTTATTTTAATAATATGAATAAATTCCATTTCTACATAATCAGTATTGATATTAACAATTTCTTAATAAAACTTTCATCAAATAATAGTTGGATTGTTGAATAAAGTAGATTTTAATTATTGAGACATATTTTTGAAAGAGAAATTTATAGAAAGAAAGGAGTTAGAAAAGACATCACTGAATTAAATAAAAGGTTGTAAAAAATAAGTAAAGTTGGGTAAATGAAAATAATGATGAATCAAGATTAGTTGAATAAGTAGAAAAAGAAATGAAAAAAAAAAAAGAAAAAAAAGAAAAAAAGATATAAAGAAGAAAAGAGAGATGGAGAAAGAGATTGAAATGACAAAATTTGAAGAAGAGAAAGAAGAAGTAAAAAGATTCACAAGATCAATTTATGTTAATATGGAACAAAGTACAAAAAAACATGTTAAAGAGAATTATACAAGAAGTAGAGGATATGGGAAAATTGGGATAATTAAAAAAATTATTATTGAAGAAATAACAAGAATTAGTTTTATTTACTTTTTAATTATTAGTATTATTGAAGGAATAATAACAAAAGAGAAAGAAGGAACAACAATTGCACCATTAATTGTTTTAATTGGAATAACAATTATAAAAGAATGGATTGAAGAATATGGAAGAATTAAAGAAGAAGAAGAAGAAAATAAAGAAAAAGTAACAATAATAAAAGGAGAAAGAAGAAAAAGAAAAGAAATAAAAGATATTAAAGAAGGAGATATGATTGAATTAGAAGAGAATTCAATAGTACCATGTGATTGTATTATTCTTAAAGGAAAAACAAGTATTGAAACGAGTGAAATTAATGGAAGAAATGAATTAGAAAAGAAAGAAGGAATTAAAATAATAAGAGAAAAGACAGAAGAAAAAATAAGAAAAGAAGAAATGAGTTTTTATATTGAAGAACCTAATGAAAAAGAAGAAGAATTTGAAGGAAAAGTTTATATAGGAAAAGAAGAAGAAAATATTGGAATAAAAAATTTTATAAGAAAAGGAAGTATTATAAGAAGTAAAGAAAGAATTATTGTTTTAGCATGTTATATTGGAAAAGAAACAAAAGAAGGAATACAAAAAGAAAAAAGAAGAAAGAAAAGAAGTTATATTGATAATATGAAAGAATTTTATATAATGATAATGATAATAATTTTTATTATTATGGGAATTATTTCAAGTGAATTAAATAAAAGATGGAATGAAGAAAAAGGAGGATGGTATATTAATTATAAAAAAGAAAGTAAATGGAAAATAATTTTAGAAAGAATATATGAATATAGTAGTATTATTCCAATATCAGTAATTATTACAATAGAAATAGCAAGAAATATTCAAAAAAGAAATATTGAAAGAGATGAAGATATGAAAAATAAAAAAGGAAAAGTAAAAGGAAAAAATGCAGGATTAAATGAAGAACTTGGAAGAATAAGTCATATTTTAACAGATAAAACAGGAACATTAACAAATAAATATTTAGTATTTACAAAATGTTCAATAGGAGGAAAAATATATGGAAAAGAAGAAAAAGAAGAAAGTTTTGAAGAAGAAGAAGAAATAATAGAAAATAAAGAAGAAGAAGAAGAAATTGATATAGTAGAAATAGAAACAAAAGAAATTATAGAAGATTATCAAAAAAAAGGAAAACAAGGAAAAATTATAGAAGAATTTTTTAAAGGATTATTAATATGTCAAAGAGTAGAAATTAAAGAAGAAGAAGAAGAAATTGAATATTTTAGTGAAACAAAAGAAGAATTAGCAATAATTGCAGGAAGTAAAAAATGTGGATTTGAAATAATTGAAAGTACAGAAGAAAGTATTTCAATTAATAATAGAGAAAAAAAAATAACATATAGAATATTAAAAAGATATGAAGGAGAAGAAGGAAAAAAAATAGTAATAGTGTATGATGGAAAAGAAATTAAAGTATATTGTAAAGGAAGAGAAAAACATATGAGAGAAGGAATAAAAATGAAAGCAATTAATGGGAAAATTTTAAAAGAAAATGAAGAATTTAATGAAGAAGGATATTTAACAATGATTATAGGAATGAAAAAGATGAAAATAGAAGAATATATAGAATGGGTAGAAAAAGGAGAAAAAGAAGAAGAAATAGAAAAAGATATAATATTAATTGGAATTACATGTGTTGAAGAAAAATTAGAAAAAGGAGTAAAAGAAAGTATTAAAAAATTTCAAGAAGCAGGAATTAAAGTATGGATGGTTACAGGAGATAAAAGAGAAAGAGCAATAAATGTAGGAAAATCAAGTGGAATAATAAATAAAAAGAAAATAACAACAAATATTAAAATAAGAAATGAAGAAGAAGGAGAAAAACAAATAGAAAAAGAATATCAAATAAGAAAAAAAAATAAAAAAGAAAGAGGAAATAATTTAATTATTGATGGAAAATCAATAGAATATTGTTTAAAAGAAAAAAATAAAAAGAAAATTCAAAAAATAATAAAATATAGTGAAAATGCTATATTTTGTGAATGTACAAGAAAACAAAAAGGAAAAATAGTAAAAATAATTCAAGAAATAGAAAAAAAAAGTATATTAGCAATTGGAGATTCAATAAATGATATTGATATGATTAATAAAGCAAATATTGGAATTGGAATAATTAAAGATAAAGAAAATGAAGCAACAAAAATTTGTGATTATTCAATTCCAGAATTTAGATTTTTAGTTAAATTAATATTAATTCATGGAAGATATTGTTATAGACAAATAGGAATTACATTATTTTATTTATTATATAAAAATATTATTCTTATAATGTGTGAATTTATATATAATATGTTTTGTGGAAATTCAATAATACAAATAATTCCAAAAAGTGTTAAAATAGAATATAATACTTTATTTACTTCTTTACCAATATTAATATTTTCAATTTTTGATAGAGATATTCCACCTTATATAATATTTAAATATCCAAAATTATATAAAAATAAAGATTATATTTCACCTATTTCATTTTGTTGGTGGTTATTTAATGCAATTTTATCTTCTTTTACAATATTTTTTATTTCTTATGTTGTATTATATAATGATTCTTTATTAATTAATGGAAAAGTTATTAATTATGATGAATTTACTTTTATTATCTTTATATCTATATTTATTGTTGTTACTTTAAAAGTTTTTTTTATTACAAAACGTTATACTATTCTCAATTTTATTGCTTTATTCTTTTCTATTATTTTATTTATTACTTTATTATTTATTCAACAACTCTTCCCTTCTTTTGATAATTGGTTTTGGTTTAATGTTTTTATTCAAATGCTTCAAACTCCTGTTTTTTATGCTTTAGTATTACTTATTCCTTTAATTTTATTTTCAAAAGATTTCCTTTGGAGACATTTAAAAAGAAAATTTATTCCTTCATCTAATCATATTGCTGAAGAAATCGCTTACAAAAATATTTCTAAAACTTATAATACAATAAAATCAATTAATGAACGTAATCTCTTCTTTCAATCTTCTTGGCATCTTCCTCAAAATCAACATGATTATCTTGATTTTTCTGATTCGGATTCGGATTCCTTTGATCTTGACCATCAAAATGAAATTGAATTAACAAATTATTAATGTATAATTTTTCTTTCTTTTTAATTTATTCTTTTGATGATATTCTTCTTCTTTTCTAATTTATTTTTTCATAATTATTTCATCATTTTAAAATGCAATTAATTAAGTATTAATAGAACTTGTTTCTATTGTTCCTGTCTCAGGGGAGACTAATCCCGTCAATGAGTCTTCGTCATATAATTCAACAACATATGTTTATTTGTGGTAGAAGTAATGTTCAATGATATCCATC